ATTTCTGATTTAACACTGAGGGCTGAACACAAACTTTGATCTTTCCAGTGCGCTTCTAAAAACCTCCAAGCACAGCTTTTACACCACTTTATTCCCAGTTTAATATTACTATTAATTACATACGATTGGTGTCCCCAGTTTAATATTACTATTAATTACATACGATTGGTGTCAGGCCGTAAAAAACAAGGTATTTTATTATATTCGCGGGTCGCAAAAAAATCGCTGTTTTGCCGCATGCGGTCCACGGGCCGTACTTTGCCCACCTGTGTGGAAGAATATCCCAGACTCTATGCTCAGCAACCATGAACGTTTTCTCACCCTAGGAGTTTCTAAACCTGGATTCACCAACACAAACTGTTTTTTTACCGAACGTTACAGTAGTGTACAGATGGCAGATATTAAGCATAAATACACAAATTGAAGACACAACATTTTGGATTAGGTACTACAAGTGAGAAATGAAAATTAATATTATTAATATTAACTCAAGTCATTGGCAGTAAAAGCTAAAATCTCCTCACCTCCCCAAGGGAGTATTCCTAGTTAATGCAGCTGTAAATTCAGAGACCAATACATTCCTCATTACAACATGGATACTGAATATATTCGTGGATGTCAACAGACATACAAAATAATACCTAACTTGCCTGAAGAGACAAGATGTCTGGGTCACAAACAGGAAGAGGAAAAATAATAAGCCAGTATAAAAACAAAAGAGGATGAAAAGACAAAAGAAGAATGAATTCATGAAAAAAATTCAAGATAAATTGAGGAATAAGAATAGGAAGTTACAGAAGGAGTTGAGGATGAATGAGGATACTTTAAATTCTTTAAAAAAAAAACTAAACTGATTAAAACATGGTAAAAAGTTATTGAAAAATGATTACAGGAATGCATAAAATTAATTATTTGTACAGTATTTTTAACGTTTTTTTATTTGTATTTACAGTAACGCATCCTGTAATTGGCTTTTTGCTGTTGGCATGATAATATAAAATAAAAATAAAATTAAATTAAATTAAAATAAATTAAATATATAAAGAATATTAAATAAATC